TCTATCTATCTATCTATCTATCTATCTATCTATCTATCTATCTATCTATCTATCTACATTGATAAAATCACAGATCTATTGGGGGTATTTTAATTGAGAGAAAATAACAAAGCATATCAGGCAAAATGGGCACATGAGAACATGGGGGTTGGATAGGGAAAAGTATTACATGATTGCCAGCATTCTGCATTGGGCCAGTCATCTTTGACCAGTGACTAAGTCATTCACTTCTATATTCAAAGAGTAGAGGATGAAGAGTGGATATGGGATGGAGCTCAGGGAAGAAATTTTGAGCAGATGGGAGAAAGTGTTGGGCAGAATAAAGTCAGAGCATGCTCTGACTGAGCACAAGACTCTGTGGCCTGGCCCTGGCAAAGAACAGTGGAAGCATCATTTCTTTGCTTCTGACTCTTATGCCAAGGAACCCAAAATTGCACCAGCTGTTTTGGCCTTCATTCTATGCTGTTGAGGAAGTCGTTGGAAACTCCAGACTGATTCCATATGTCCCTCCATCCTTTAATTGTGCAATTGGTTTTTTAACTGGACTTTATATTTATTCTTATCAAATTTCATCTTGTTAGATGTATCCATTTTTTCTAGTCCAATGAGATCTTTTAGGGTCTTGTTCTACCATCCAATAGGATAGTTATCCTTCCAGATCTGTGTTATCTTCAAATTTGATAAACATCCCTTTACATATTTGTCTGAGTCGTTGATATAAATGAGGACCAGCACAGAACCAAGGACAGAATCCCAATTAGATTCTCAAAATATCTGAACTGGAAGGAATTGCATCTCGACTAATTCATACTTGGAAAGGAATTCTCACTCTAACATCTGACAAGTGGTTATCTGGCCTCTATCTGAAGTCCTCCAAGATGAGCAGGGGGACCCAGCACCTCTCAAAGTGGACAGCTCCTTTCACCTTGTTTTCAGTTTTGCTCTCTGGTGTCAAATATAACAATGCTAATTCCTCTCCCCCTTGACAACCCGTCAGCTACTTGAAGATAGCTAGCATGCTATCCATAAGTGTTTTCTTCTCCAGGCTAAACCTCCCATCCTTTTAACCAATCCTCATGAGATGTGGACCCAAAGCCCTTCCCTATCCCAGTTACCCTTCTCTGGACACTCTCTGCTTTATCAATATCCTCCTTAAACTGTGGACAGAACTTTGGGAGACTCAACTTTCCCCTAGATTCAGTTCCAAATCTCTCTACATTGTCCACTGGGATTCCATAGGAGACTTTGTCACGTGCTTAGCTGAAATTCCAGTATGCTGTGTTTGTATCATTCCTCTGATTACCAGACTAATAAGGCTGTCAAGAAAGGAAATGAGATTAGCTTTGCGTGACTGACTTTTGATGAACCCATGCTGGCTCTGACTGATCAATGCTTACCTTTCCTATTGTTGACAGATCGTCCTCTTAATGACACCTTCCTGAATTTTATTAGGAACTGAAGTCAGATTCATTGCTTTACAGTTTGAAGAATCCACTTTCTTCCATATTTGGAAACTAGGACATTTGCTTTAGTGAGTATTTCAGCATCTCTCATGCTCTCTCTGCTTTTTCCAGACTGTGGTCTGGAATTAAGCAAATTACCTCTCTGATCCTGTAAAGTGGGATCATAGTACAGGGACTACTGACCTCATGAGGCTATTTTGAAGAAAGTCCCTCACAAACCTTAATACACCACTAGTTGTGAGTTAATTTTCTTTCTTCTTAACAAAGCTGATGAATTTCAAGGCTGCCATTTAGTCCAACCCATATCAGAACAATACTCCAGACAAATGGTTATCTAGTCTTCTCTTTAAGACTTCTAGTGATGAGCAACTGACTCCCAATGGTGTCTATTCAAAATCTGGACATCATTAATCAGTAAGAATTTTCCTTTATGCTGATCTCTACCACCCTCTAGCTTATGTTCACTTCCTTATTTTGCTCTCTAGGGCCAGGACTGTAGCTATCATGTTCCCCACTGGGAAATCCATTTTCCAGACTATATATGCCCATTTTATTGAGTGGGGCCTCGTATGGTGCCTTTGCCATCCTAGTGATCTTCCTCTGAACTTTCTTCAGTCCAGCTATGTCCTTATCTAGCCCAAACTGGAGAGATTCCAGAGGAAAGAGATCAGGATTGGGGAGCAGACTCATTATTTCAAAGAATTATTGAATTTCAGCTAAACTTACCTACAAAAAATGAGAATGCTTATTCTTACAATGTTTTCCCTGGCAACTGTTCTCTCTGTGAATACTGGCACATTAAAGATGCAATGAAAGTACGTAAGTGGCATTAAAAGAGAACATTCCACTGATCCTTCCATTTTAGCCAACTCAACTTTGTGGCCTTTGTGTCAGGCTAAGTACTATTTCTACAAATAGTAGGGACTGCCTTCCTGGTGACTAATGCATTGAGTTGTAGCTTGGGATCTTTGCATGGTTGTATGTGAATTTTCTGTTTCATTTCAATTCATTGGATTTTGAACATATGTGTGAGTGGCACTGTGCTCTGGAAGGTGGTCCTTTAAGCACAAATACCCACCCACCCACCAACACACAAATGGATTCTCTTTTATTTCCTCAGACACCTACAAACAGAACAGTAGGAGACTTCAGGCATACCGAGCAGAAACTTGGCCCCCCAAGTGGATGCTTCTTGTTGCTGATTTCCAGGCCTGAGATTCTGAGCACACAGTGCGGTGCAATAATCAGATAGCTTCCTTCCAGAGTACCAGGACTGGCTCAGTGGGCAGAGTATATAGCATCTTCCCCCTGCCCCCATCTGCTTTAGACATCAAATCAACACTGCCATTTTGGGAAAGGACATATCAATCAACTTTCCAGTGGCTCCATTCCCCATCCCTGTGGCTTCCAAAACAGCGCTTCCTGGCCATCACTTCCCATATGTGCTATCTACTTCTACTGGAATACAAATTTTTCGAGGGCAGGGACTGTCTTGCTTGTTGGTATTTGTGTCCGCAGGGCTTGGCACATAGTAAGTACTTAATAAATACCTTTTCTTTCATTCATGACTAGAACTTGGTTCTCTGAGGGAAAATTGATGGAGCCGGGATGACTTTTATTGCTGGAGGAGGGGTTTTGTTTGATCTCAGTTACAATGTAGCACTGGGAATGCACCTTCATCTTCTCTACACCTGCTGTTTCACGTAGCAGGTCCATGGAACTTTTGTAAAGTGAGTTGAGGAAATGCTTCCTCATTGAGAGAGAGAAAGAGGAAGAAAGAGAGGAAGGAGGGAGGGGAGAGAGAGAGAGAGAGAGAGAGAGAGAGAGAGAGAGAGAGAGAGAGGCAGCACTAAAAGGCAAAAGACAAGAGGCGAGACACACAGAGGCAGGCGGGATACTTACTGCTGACTAACTGGCCAACACTCAAAGCTGAAGAGGAGGAGGATGAGGAGGAAGAAGAGGAAGCCTGGCGGACAGGGCTTTGAGACATGGATGCTTGGCTGTGAGCCAGATGCAGAAGGTTGGCCTGGGAGGCAGCTTGACCCACTGGTGTCTGGGAGGGTTGGTGGAGCTACAAGTCGAAATGTTTAAAGAGAAAGAGAGACAGAGATTTAGAGAAAAAAGTCATCCTGAGCCTTTCGAGCACAGGCTAGGGGAGCTGTGAGGACTTGGCTGAGAAGACTTTTTTTTTCTTCAATATTTTGCAACATGCCTGACAGCCATTTTATCAGTGATTCTGGAGGGGCTAAAGGAATCCTTTTGGTGGCTCAGGATACCCCCAACCCACCATTTTTTCCCTGCATGCTTGAGTCCTGATGTGTTGCCAAAGGACTTTTGGTGCCAATTTAACAAACATTAAGCCCCTAATATATGCCAGGAGCTGGGGATACAAGGACAGCCCCTGCCCTCAAGGAGTTTACATTCTATCAAGGGAAAACAACATGTACACAGATAAAACAATACAAAATACATACAAAAGTAAGCACAAAGTAATTTCAGGTAGAATGACTGGGAAAACTCCATTGGTTTGTCAAATTGATTCTAAAGCCCAGTTCTAACCATGCCACCCTCCTATTCAATAAACTCCAGTGATTTTATTACTATTATGCCCAAGATTAAATATAAAGCTCTTTATTATCTGGCCTCCTCCAACCTTTCCAATCTTCTTACACCTTTTACCATTTCCCCCCATCTCAATAATCTAGTGACACTGCCCTCCTTATTGTTCTTCACACAAGACATTCCATTTCCTAACTGAATATTTTCACCAACTTTCTCTCATGCCCAGAATTCTCTTCCTCCTTCTCTCCTCTTCCAGGATTCCTTAGCTTTTTTCAAGTCCTGGATAAAATCTCATCTCTGCAAGAAGATTTTTCCAATCTCTTCTTAATGCTAGTGCCTTTTTTATGTTCATTATTTCCAATTTATTCTCAATGTATCCTGTTTTTATGTCCTTGCCATTAGACAGAGCACCTTGAGATCAGGGATTTTTTTTTTAACCTTTCTTTGTATTCCCATGGTTTTTCTCTGTGCCTTGTGAAAAGTAGGTACTTAATGAATGCTTATTGACCCACTGACTTGAGATTGGGAATGAACTTGTGTAAAAGATGGTGCTTGAGTTGAGTTTTGAAGGGAACTCAGGATTTCAAAAAGCAGAGGTGAGGAGGAGGGCATTCCAGGCATAGGGAACATGCTGTTGGGAGGGTACACAAAGTTTGGAAGTAGTTGAGTAATGGTATTGTGGCCTGGGTTCTGGGAAAGGTGAAAGCTTGTGTCTCCCAGCCCAGGGTCCCATTAGTTTATGAATCCAAGATAACATCACAACCAATAGAGCAACATTAAGCGTCTGCTCATGGTAACTAGCCAGTCTGCTCATTGCTCAATCAACAACTGAATCCAGTGAATTCTTTCTCTATAGGGACGTGCTTGCACACTGAAGATTAAATTTAATTTTAATTTGCTGAATACAGACTATAAATCAGTTTCCCACTGCTTGACCATTCCAGTAAAAATTTTATGTGATGAAACATGATTAACTATCAAGGGACAGGGCATGATAATAACCAATTTAATTTTGTTGTTTAGAGATCTTAATTAAAAAAATATTCCTGTAAATAACACATGTAGTTGGATGGACAACTTCTAGAACTCAGCTACCAGGACATATATCTGGAACAGACACCGAAAGTGGACAATGAACTAGATGCAGCATTGAGCAGGAGCAGGAGCAGGACAGGGGGGCTGAGCACTGTTTGGAGCATTGCAAAATAATTCCAATGGCCCCAAGCTTCTCCCTGAAACAAAGGGCCACCCTTTTAATGCCAGTATTCTCCTGATGGTGCTGAATGCTGTGAGTCATGGGAAACAAAAATGTCCAAAGAGTTCAAACTAAACATCATTCAGGGGTCAATGGAGAAGTACATGGTACACAGCGAGCAGTCCTTTACACATTACAAGGAATTGCAATAGAGAACTAGAGGGAAAGATGCCACCAAAGAAATGTGTGAGTCATTTGGTGACATTGGTGATAAACCAATGAAAAGGCCATGTGCTCCATCAGTTCTCCCAACCTTAAGAGAAAGCAAGGCAGGCATCCAGCCTATTGGGTGGGCCTCCTCTGGGAAGTTTATGGGAGGCTATGTATGGGAGTTACAATGACGAGTAGATGTAGATGGGCTGCAACCTGCATTGTTGGGGGGAACATATGCATTGGTGAGATCCCAGTCATTGGAGCAGCTGAAGATTTGAGAGCATAGTCCCATTCATGGGAAGCCTAGAGCAATCTGATGTTTATGAACAAATGAGGTAGGATGGAAAGCATCCACATGGATACCCAATTAAAAAAATGTTATCTGGAGCCTGTGCTCATTGTCCAGGCAGCCAAGAAGAGAAGTAAGGAAGTGAATCTCATGGAGAGATTTCTCTTCAGACCAAAGAAATTCTTTTTATAGCATACCAGAATATCCCACTCACACTGGCTTTTCTGAGGCTTGATTGATCGATCACGATCCACTTGTGGAGATGCCTCCTTTGCAATTACACCTCTGTTCAAACCCATCCAGGACACATGACACTTATTTGGACTACATCTATGCTTTCACTGGTCTAGGGGAGGAAACTAACACTACCAGTGTGGATCAGCAACTGCTCAGCCTATTATTTCAGCTTTGCCTAGGGCAGCAAGAAGTTAAGTGACTTGCCTAAGGTCATACAGCCAAAGTGTGTCAGAAGCAGGTCTTGAACTCAGGGCTTTCTGTTTCGAAAGCCAGCTTTCAATTCCCAATACCATGCTACCTCTCTATGGAACATTTTGGGAGGAGAAAAATACAGAGAAAGTCTAACTCCTAATACTGACAACAACATAACCCCCCAACACCAATACCACTATTGTCTTCATTTGCTACTCTGCTATCTAAAAATCACAGTGCAGCGGTGGGTTTGAAAACTGAATGGCATCCTGGGATTTGTAGTTCAGAAGGACAAGCATTCCTTTTTAGCTTTGAGAGGAAATTGGACTACTGTGAAGGTGGACTTGAGTCATGCCTCGGAGCTTTGAAAAGAGTTCACAAGATCTGTAAGACATTAAGTGGGGATTATATGCTGAGCAATTGAAGCAGTGAGGGAGATAGTGTGTCCGTCCATGTCAAACCAAGTGGAGCTGGAGAAAATTGGTGGCATAGGGGCAACAGGTAAGAGAAGAAAATGAAAAGAGACTGGAATTGCAACAGAGAAGGAGGAGGTCTAGGTGAGCCACCAGGTACCTGCAGGCATCCCAGAAGACAGGGCTGAAGCTCCCAGTTGCTCTCACCTCTTCCAAGGAAGTTCCAAAAGATCTGCTTTCCCCTTCTCCCTTCCCTGTGCCTGCCCAGTAACAGACACAATAACATAATCAATTTACTCCCGTGACCAAGTGTTTACTATATACTGATTTTGCCCCAAATATAAAGAAGTCAAGAGTTAGCTAGAAATAATAAAATTTAAATTAGAGCAGAGAGTCAAATTTCTCTCCTAATATTAGGAATTTTCCTAACTGGGGGCTCTGAGCTGTTGTGATTGTATTAACTTTCCATCTGATATAAACTCCACAAAGAGATGGAGATCACATGAAGCCTGGAGTGAGGGCCATTATATTGCCCCCAGGCAAAAAGTAAACCAATTGGCTGATTAAATCTCTAGAGAAGAAGGGAGCAAGGAAGAGAGGGAGGTGACTGACTGTAGAAAAGAGCACATCCTGAACCAATCCAGAAAGAGGATAAGTTAAGCTTGGTAAGGTTTCAGCGCTAGGTTTATCCAAAAGGGACAAGGGAACAGAAAGGATGGAGTATCCTCTGTATTACCCTCCACAGCAACACCCACTAGTACTGTAACAGAAATATTACAGGATTTCAGAATTAGAGGAAACTTGAGAGTTCATTTAGCTCCACTTACACCTTCATAAGAGCCTACACTACAAAATATCTGATTAGGTCCATCCAGCCTTCCCTTGGAATGAGGGAGAATCCTTGGCCCCCAAAAGAAATGTGAGATTACTTTTGGATAGCTCTAATTGTGAAGAAATCTTTTCCCCTGATATCAAGCCATAATTTGCCTCTCCATCGTGTCCATACCGCAACCCCTAGCTCCATTCTCCCGGTATAGGGAGGACAAATCTAAGACTTCTTCCATATGACATTCTTTCAGCTACCATAACCCCACCAAGTCTTCTCTTTCTAAGCTAAATATTTTCAGCTCCATTGACTTTTCTTTAACTAATCTTCCTGTGGCATGATTTAGGCCCTTCAGTATCATGGCTCCCCTATTCTGGATGATGTTCAGCTTAGCAATGTTCTCCCCCAAACGTGGGAACCGGAGACAAATGTGACACACAAGAAGGGATCCGACCAGAGCAGAGCACAATGGAACCCATTACCTTCTTTGTTGCAGATTCTGGGCCTCTCAACACAGCAGAAACTTGCAATAGTTTTTCTGGCTGCCCTGTCACATTATTAACTCATCCTGAGGTTGAATTCCATTAAAACTCTTTTTAAAAGATAAACTGCAATTTAATCATGGATTCCCTATTTGGTATTTGCAAAGTTGATTTTTTGAACCCAGTTATGAGGTTTTACATGTTTTTATTACGTCTCATCTTATTAGATTTGGACCAATGTTTTAGCTTGGGGAGATGTTTTTGAATCTTCATGTCATTCAACATGTGAACTCTCCCTCCCAGCTCTTCTTGTCTCTAAATTCAATAAGTATGCTAGTTTTCCAGTTCTCAGGCACCTCTTCTGTTCTCCACAATCTTTCAAAGATAAATGACTGCTGCGAGATCCTTTAATCCCCTGGGATGTGGGCCATCAGGGGCTTGATGGCTTGAACTCAGGGCAGTTGGATGCTCAACTAACTTATTTTGTGTTTCAAGGCCCTACTATTCATTTTTGTTTTGTCCAAATATCATTACCTTTTGAATTATTTCTCTTCATGTCCTTAAATTTGTTTTTTCTAATAACTTTCCATCTATACCTCCTGGGCCAACATTCCTTTTAGATTTTAGGTTATATGATGCTACTGAAGCTTTTCTGAACCCTC